CTAACACACCCCGAGCCCCCCGAGCCAAGATGACGCTCGGGAAAAAAGCTGTTGAAGCCGAGACATCGGCCGGGCTGGAGGGCACTGATGTTTCTGTCCCGACCGCTCAACCAGTCGGTGCTTCAACTGTGGCGCCAAGTGACACCACGACCGATCTGCTAGCCCCTCGAGTTGCCGGGCGAAAAGGCAAAGAAAAGGCGTACGTGAAGGACGTAGAAGAGACGGTCGCTCTTAAGCGTCGTCGCAGGCAGAGCCCTCCGACTGGGGTCGTCTCAAGCGGTGAGCAGTCTCTCCTCACCCGGCTAACCAATCTACAGCCGGTCGGGGAAGACAGGAGCAAATGGATGTCGACGCAGATAGCAGAGAGGGGTGCCCAAGATTTGGTCGAGGTTCGTTCTACTATCCCTTAACTTTATTTTCAACTTTGATCGCTCGAGCTAATTAATTGTTTTCACAGGTCTCCCGGGCGATTCAAAGTTTTCAGTACCGGGCGTTGCTGGCCAACGAGGCCGAGGCCCTGAAAAAGGTCGCCGAGCGGCGCAAGAAGAAAAACGCCGAGCTTTAAGAAGATTTGAAGGCGGCCAAGGAGGCCCAAGCGATCGCGGAGAAGGCTGCTCGGGTTGCGCTGAGGGAAGCGGACGAGCTGAAGACCCGGTTGGGTAACCTGGGAGGGTTGGCCAAGTTCTTGTGCCGGGACGAGCCCACAGCCGATAAGTTCTTCCGGGAGCTCATGAAGAATAAGCTCGGGGAGGAGAAGGTGTGGTCGTTCGGGAACTAGGCCTACAAGTCCGGCCAGCGGGCCATGCAGGAAGAGACCTGATCCACCATGGAAGAGGTCTTCAAAGGCAATGACCTGAAGGCCGTGCTAACAACTCTCCCGGACGAGGTTCCCGATCCGGGCCTGATGCCTTTCACCGAGTCATCTACTCTGGAAGCCCCAGCCGAACCCAGCGTGAGCGCCGGCGACAAGGATATAGGAAAGGTCGTGTAGTCTCCGACCGATCTTGTAATTTTAATTTTTGTGAACTTAAATCGCTCGGGAGCCCGGTCCCGTTTGTGCCGAGCAACTTTTCCTTTTGAATGAATGGAATTGTTTGCTTCTTTTATATTTTGTCCATTATGAACGTTTTCCATTTTTGCGATCAATCGATCTGTAATCAATCAACCAACCTAATAATCCATCGATCAACCTAATAACCCTCCTTAGCCCCCACTGTTGAACACATGAGGAACGAATGAGTGCGAGAGTAGTTAAGGTAGGTTAATCGGGCTATGCTCTCACGGGTGTCCTGTTCTCCCGAGCGATGGCATGACACGACCGTCCGCCGAAGATGAGCGATTTGTCCCAAGTGTTACATTCCACCCGGATGAGATGTAGATGATTGTATAATCTGATAGGTTTTTACCCCCGTCGGTCGGTGCCAGTGAGGGGTGTGTACCTTTATCGGTTGTAACCGATGTTTTTTAATCTCGGTATAATCGGGCAAGTTTAAGCGACATTGTGGTCAGTGGGCTTTTGCCCGACTGGATCGTTGATGCTGAATCTTGATCAGATGAGTCACGACCAAAATAACTTGGAATTTAACCAAACTACTTGCTATTTACATATTTTGACAGTCGGTCGAGCCGTCGTGCACAGACGAGCGAGCAATCATCGATTGACAATACAAACTTTATTCCCGTTCACAGACGGACAGAAATTTACATATAAGCTAAAAGATGGGCGTGCTCACTCGTAGGTTGAGCCCCCACCCCATCCGAAGGTTACACAACAACACTAATGTCGGAACATAACCAAATTCTCAGAATTCCATGTGCCTTCGATCATTCTCCCGGTCGTGGTTTCCAATTGGTACGTACCCGAGCGAACGACCGATGTGATTACTTATGGTCCCTCCCAATTTTGAGCTAGTTTGCCCCCTTCCAAGGGTTGACTGGCCTCTCTTCGTCGTAATACATAGTCTCCAACTTGTAAGTAACATGGATAAACCCGCACGTCTTTAGTACTCTTCACCCTCTTTTGATACTCGGCCATACGTCAAGCCGCAATTTCTCTCTTCTCTTCAACACCATCTAGATCCACAACCATAGAGTGCTCGTTCTCTTCGGGATCCACGCCTCGATCGGTAACCGCGCTTCAGCACCATAGACTAGAGCGAACGGTGTTTCCAACGTTGCCTCTCTAGGGGTCGTGCGATATGTCCAAAGCACATACGGGAGCTCCTCAGCCCAACTACGACCGGCTGAGTGTAGCTTCTTCTTCAATCCTTCCAAGATGGTTCGGTTGGCATTTTCCACTTGGCCGTTTCCCTGCGGGTAAGCTACGATGATCGGATCGAAGTCGTCCCGATCGTCGCCAAGAAATTTTGGAAATACTGACTCACAAATTGTCGACCGTTATCACATATCAAGGGAATGGGAACGCCGAACCGTGAGATAACATTCTGCCACAGAAATCTGGCACATTGCTGTGAAGTGATCGTGGCCAAGGGCTCGGCCTCAATCCACTTAGAGAAATAATCAATCGCCACGATAACAAAGCGCCATCGCCCAGACAGCTACGGAAAAGGCCCCAAGATATCCACCCCCCATCGAGCGAACGGGATGGCGGTCGTGACCGGTTGATAAAAGGTTTCCGGACGACCAGGCATCCGAGCGTACAATTGGCATGTTTCACAACTCTTAGCAAGTTTTTCACAATCTAGCTGAATGGATGGCCAATAGTACCCGATCACCATGATGCGTCGAGCCAGCGATCGACCTCCTTGGTGCGACGAACATATGCCCGAGTGTAACTCGTTCATAACCAAGTCTGCTTCAAAAGAATTCAAACATCGCAACAGAGGACCACCATACGACCGTCGGTATAACCGTCCATCTTGCACCTGAAATCTTGGTGCCCTCAATTTCGCCTTTCGCGCCCGTTGTGGATCATCCGGCAACCGGTCATGCTGCAGGTATTCCATCAAATAGGAAATCCATGTTTCCTCAGCCAGTTGAATATGGGCGACCGGTAAGCGGTGAATACTGTGTCTCGGAATCACTAAAATCCGAGCAATTTTGGACATATGCTCGGGTGCGTCTTGTGCTAGCTTCGACAGGATGTCTGCATCAGCATTATCCAGTCGAGGAACATGACGGACAGTATATGCCAAGAAGAAATTCAATTTATCCATCTCTAAGTCATGATAAGCTTGTAACCGTTCTCCGTTGACTTCATAATCACCAAGGACCTGCCCGACCACCAACGCTGAGTCGGTCTGTGCCCGGATGTACTCAGCCCCCAAATCCCGAGCGCATTGTAACCCGTTGACGAACGCTTCGTACTTTGCCTCGTTATTGGTCGGGGAAAATTGATACATTAAAGCATAGTACACTTTAAATCCCTCCGGGCTCGTGATCACAACTCCTCCGCCCGCTCCCTTCTTACTACTTGATCCATCAGTAGCCAACATCCACCAAGCCGCTTCAGGATCTTCTTCAACTGGATGTTGGATATCCCGAGCGGTGCACTCGACCAAAAAATTGGCCAAAGCCAGGCCTTTGATCGCCGGGCGCGGTCGGTAATCTATTGCATATTGCGTCAGCATCAACGCCCACTTGACTAAGCGACCGGATGACGAAGCGGTGCGGAGGACTGCCCCAATCGGTTGGTCAGTCAAAACACGTATGGCACGTCCTTGAAAATAGGGAGCCAACTTCTTCGCCGATGTGTATAAGGCGTCGACAATCTTTTCCAATTGGGAGTAACGGAGCTCAGGACCATGGAACGCGTGGCTCACATAGTAAACCGGTCGCTGCACCCCCTCCAGATCTGTCCTGCATAACACCGCACTGACAGCTCGATCGGATACGGCTAAATAGACATCAAGCTCTTCCCTGGGCTCGGGCTTAAACAGCACGATTGGAGACATCAAATACTCCTTCAGCTCGTCGAAAGCCAATCGACATTCATCGTCCCATACAAATCCCTTGACCTTATGGAGCACTTTGAAGAACGGTAACGCGCGCTCAGCCAACTTCGAGAGGAATCTACTCAAGGCTGCCAATCTCCCGGTCAATTGTTGGACCTCCCGGACGGTTGTGGGTGGTTGCATGTCGACGATCGCTTTAAATTTGGCGGGATTTGGCTCAATCCCCCTCTTCGTCATCATATATCCTAGGAATTTCCCGGTCTGAACAGCGAACGTGCACTTGGTTAGGTTCAAACGTAGCTGGTATGTTCGCATGATCTGGAAGCACTGTCGGAGATCCCGAGTGTGGTCCGCTCGGTCCCGACTCTTCACCAGCATATCATCGATGTAAGCTTCCATGGTCCGGCCTAGCAGGTCCTCAAAGAGCATGTTGACCATGCGCTGATATGTTGCTCCTGCATTGCATAGACCGAACGGCATAACCCGGTAGCAATATAAACCATCAGGCGTGACGAATGCCATTTTGCTCTCGTCTTCGTGACTCATCATAATCTGATGATAACCTTTGAAGGCGTCCATAAAGCTCATCAGCTCGGCCCCAGCCGTTTCATCGACCATCTGATGAATGCTCGGCAAGGGGTAGGGATCTAACGGGCACGTTTTATTCAGATCGGTGAAGTCAATGCACATTCTCCAGGATGGAGGCTTAGGGACCAACACTATATTGGCCACCCACTCTGGATAAGTGACCGGGCAAATGTGCTCGATCGCGGCCATCTTCTTCACCTCTTCACGAACAAACTCTCAGTGATCGGAGGACAAATGCCGAGTCTTCTTAACGATCGGTTTAGCGGTAGGGTCTACAGCCAACCGATGGAAAATAACCGTTCGATCAATCCCGGGCATATCCTCGGGCCCCCGTGCGAATATGTGAGCAAACTCCCGATGTATTGCTAACACCTCCAGTCGAAGTTCAGGGGTAAGGGCCCGACCAATCTTAACTTTCCTCTCGGGCCGGTCCTCTGACAAAGGAACCTCCTCGATTTCTTCGGACGGCTCAGGTTGTTCTTTCCGGTCCTTGACAGCCTACCGGATGATTGTGTTTACTCGGGACGAACCCGCGTCTCGCCAATTAACTGCTCGTGTATAGCACTTCCTGGCCGACTGAGCGTCACCGCGTAGAACTCCAACCCTAGCCGGGGTAGGAAACTTCATGCACAGGTGAGACATAGATATAATTCCCCCGACCTTCATGATGGTCGGGCGACCTAGGATCACGTTGTGGACGCAGTGAAGATTCACGACCACAAATTCCATCTCCGTCTTGACTGACTTGGGCGGAGATCTTAGCTCGACTGGGAGGACGATTTTTCCTTCGGGGCGTATGGTAGCCCCGGTGAATCCCGACAAGGGTACACCGACTGGAATCAGCTCCCGTCGGTCCAGTTTTAGTTTCTCGAAAACGTCCAAATGAAGAACATTGACGCTGCTCCAAGTATCTACCATCACCCTTTGTACGTCGACTCCCATGATGTCGATCGTAACAACAAGCGCTTCCATCCCGGTGTCTCCGCTCTCGGGTTGATCTTCAAGAGAAAAAGTGATTGGCTTCATTTTCTGCCTCTTACCGGTTTCCCAGGAGTTGACGATCGCGACCGGGCAAGGGTTTCGGGCTTGGGAAGCATCTTCCAAGCCCCCGAATATAACATGAATAGTCGGCATTGATGTTTGTTGACCACTCGACGGTGGATCGGGATCCCGCTGGTCCTGGTCCGATCGATCAGGACGATTAGAGCGTCTGTGATCTTTTCTCTCGGCTGTTCTTTTATTCTCTTCTCGCTTCCCAACACACTTATCCAACTTTCCCAATTGGAGCAAATCTTCTAACAGCTGTTTCAGGTGCGTGCACTCCTCTGTGTCATGCCCAACACATCGATGATAAGCGCAATGTTTCAACTTATCCTTCTCATCCAGTCTGGGATGAGGTAAACGAATGAGGTTGCAGGACTGGGCATATTGCATGGCCTCCGCCGCCGATCGGTTTAACGCCGTGAAATCTCCCGGCCGGGCTCGGGCTCGGGGATGGTCTTCACCCGACCGGTTGTCCGTCCGACTGGATGGTTTCCGGGAAGATCCGACCTCTTGGGAGCATTTGACGGCATTTTCCTCTCCAGCATTGGCATAATCCGTCACTCTACGGAGCGCTTCTTCATAGGTGGCAGGCGGGTGGAGTATAAAATCCTGATTTAAATAACCGGCTCGGAGAGAAATATGTAGCATGTGAATAGCCGTTAGGTCGTCCATGGGCTCGACCTCTCCCACCGCCGCCTTCCACTTGACTAAGAAATCAGTCAAGCTCTCTCCTTCCAGTTGCTTAGCCTTTTCAAGATACATGTAAGGCTTCAGGATGACTTTGGAAGTTATAAACTTCCAAGTGAATTTTGTCGCCAAACTAGAGAAATCATAAATGGACCCTGGTTGCAACGTTCTGAACCACTCGGCCGCCCGACCGGAAAGCGTCGAGTAAAAAGTCCGGCACATCACGGCATCAGTTACGCCCATCATGAGCATATTTCCATAATAAGTGTTGATGTGAACCTCTGGGTCTGTCCGGCCGTCATACTCTTTGTTTCCAGGGATTCGCAAGTCGAGGGGGTAAGGTTGAGCCATGATCTCCGCCGTGAAGCGTGTCCGCAATAATGAAACGGTATAATCGAAAGGAGGCCTCAAGGCGTGCTCGTTCTGCCATCGGGTGAACTCTGCGCGGAGGTCGTTCAACATTCCTCTGGTCTCGTCTTGCTCGACCGTACGGGCTTGCTCCCGAGCCCGGCGTCGTCGATGCGCTTGAGGCCCGCTATGTCCTGACAATCCAGCCTGACTGGCCGCTCGCATGGGAGAATCAACCGAGCGCCTATCTGGGTCTTGTGGTCCCAATCATTGCCGCATTGCTGGTCGGAGTCGCTCGAACGTACTCGCTCGATTGGCTTCTAACTCGGTCTCTTCAGCCGCCAGGGCATGCGTTTCCTGCCGTGGTTCCTCCATGATCTCGGCCCCCTGCGATCCCAACCTTGAGCGAGCCGAGCACCTAGTCCGGGGACCGGGCTGAAACTTGGGCTCGGTCGGCATGGTCGGTTAGTTCGGGGGAGCGGAAGTTGGAGCTGTATACGCAGGCATGTAAGGCAAATAACCGGCCAGTGGATAATACATCGGTGTCCCGGGCCAACAACCATATTGAGGAGGTGGAACTGGATACAGATAGTTAGCTGGAAACGGGTATTGTTGACCGGGCGTTGGATACATCGGTTGTATGTAATTGATCGAGTTGGGAGCTACCGATCGAGGAGGTGAGTGGTTGAGATTCAGGTCAATTGTCTAACCCTGATGCTGTGTGTAATTGTGGTCGGAGGAGCTAGCTTCCTCGTCCTCCGGTGCTTGATACATGAATGGATACATGGTGATGATCGGGATCTGGTACTCGTCTACAATAGCTTTTCGTACCGGGTCCCCACAGACGGCGCCAAAATGATAGTACTAATATCCACGTAATGCAGTCAAAGTACTGAATGAGAACAAATAATAATAATAGAATGGGATTTTATTGATCAGAATGTAACCTAATACAATCTAAATGGTTATCCCGAGGACCGACTAAATGCGGTCGGGCTGCTCTGTAAATAACCTATTGATCGTCCAAAAGTCCCCCTCACTGTAGCCGCCGTGGGTACTTATAGCCTTTGGCCGAAGACAAACTTCCGGCCTACCGGCATGTAACCCACATAGCGTCCACGAGTCTTCACCCAGCGAGCCCTCTCTGTCAACGCATAGCATTGCCACGTGCCCCTCTCCAGCATCTTTGTCTCTGTGCAAAGTGAAGGCACGAGGACCGGGAAAAAACACCGGTTGGGAAGTCCAGCGGTCGGTTCCAACCGCTTCGTCTGAACCACGCCCGACCTAAAGATCCTGCACAAACAACAAGATGAACCCAACTCATGTCGGTCGGGATATATCCTACCAACTCTTATTAAATTAAATAATAATTTAGTAGCTACAACAAAAAATAATGCATATGCATTTCTTTAATTTAGAATTATGTGTCTACAATGTCGTTATTCAAAAAAAATTATTTATTATCAATAAATTAAATAAGAGAAATAATTTCATTAGCTATATTGTCTTTATTTTTCTCCAATATAAAAATTCTTACATTCAAATTCATCAATTGATTATATTCGTTACATTGTCCCTACAATGTCTTTATTTAAAAAACATTATTGATTATCAACAAATTAATTAAGAGAAATAATTTTATCAGTTATATTGTCTTTTATATTTATCCAAGGTAAAAATTCTTTACATTCAAATTCATCAATGGATTATATTTAGTACATTGTCTATTATCTTTTTTTGTGCACTATTTTTTATTAACTATCTCGCAATGTCATTGTTTGACAATCAACAGTTAGCGGTTAGCGTTAGCGGATTATATTAGCGGATTTGACCAGCTAATTATATCAATGGTTGGTAAAAAGATATTTGAAAAAATTAGCTGTTTAGATTAACATGTAAAATGACCGGGTATACATATATTTAATAATAATAATAATAATAATAATAATAATAATAATAATAATAATAATAATAATAATAATAATAATAATAATAATAATAATAATAATAATAATAATAATAATTATTATTATTATTATTATTATTATTATTATTATTATTATTATTATTATTATTTTAAAAAAAATAAAAAAATAACAAATATAATTAAGCCAATCATATTAAATACTTGAAGGATTTACTGACAAAAAGAGTATTCAAATCACACAACAAATTGAAGTGGGAAACTACCTCGCAATGTCCTTGTTTGGCAATCAGCAGTTAGCTCTTCAATATTAGTATATATTTAATATATTTTAAAAATAAACATTGGGCATTATCCCAATCGCGCAATGCGCGTAAAAATCTAATATATAGATAGGAAGTAATATGGTGACAGGAGACATTGTCCAAATAATGACGATGGCGATGACGATGATGATGATGATGATGATGATGATGATGATGATGATGATAGTTAATACCATTTTGGTCTCTCGACTATTAGATAAAAGGACTTTTTGCCCCTCTGTAACGGTGGATTGATGGCAATTGTAACGGAAGACCAAATTGGATATGATTTTACAAGTTAAAGGACTAATTGGATACTTTTAATAGTATGTGACTAAATTGCACATCACCTAATAATCGAGGGACCAAAATAGGTATTAACTCATAATTAAGTTCTGATTGAACTTTGAAATTTAACATGTCGTCAGAACTATTATTGTCTCCTAAGCACTGTACTGTGAAGTTTTTTCTCACCCTGAGAACCTCAGATACACACATACACTGTGAGTGTGTAATTGCTTAATGTTATGGGTCATTGATGCAAGAGTTATGCAATTCTCTAGTAGGATTCATGAAAACAAAACAAACAAAAAAAATGAGATTTATTGCTTCTCTATTTCCCATTAATCTTGTTCTTTCAAAGAAGAGCTCTTTACAAGGGGTCAACATTTATATCACGGCATAGTTTTCTCCATATTACATTTTTCGCTCTTTACAAGGGGTCAACATTTATATCACGACATAGTTTTCTCCATTTTAGATTTTTCACTTTTTCCAAGGTTTTAGATGGAAGGTGTATATGGTTGGTTACATGGAACTGTTTGGCATCTCAGAGAACTGCTGTCTGCCATGATCTTGTACTGTAAGGGGCTGGTTGAGGCATTAGAATCATTGCCAAATTTCTTTGGTCAAATTTTCTTATTAATAGCAATTAGCAAGGGGCCTGTCATTGCCCCAAATGTTCACAATATAACTTTACTTTTTTTTTTTTTTTTTACGGGTGACGAAGGAAACACGTAACTACTATCCGAGGGTCGGGACGGGGTAAATCCTGCATTGTTACCTTAACCAGCAAAAGACCATAAGCAGGTAAACTAGCCTAGATTGTCTATAGTTAATCGGCTCAAAAATCAAAACAAGAAGGTTGTGATTCAAACTCGTGATTTTTTGGTTACCAGTTTTAGAGATTTTAATCTAAGAAGAATAATATTTTAGCTTAACAATATGAGAATAATTTATATATTCATAATAATTTTACTTTACATTTTACAATAAGATTTGTATATTTATTAACTTTAATTTTTATTAATATTTGAAATTAATTATGTTGCCATATAATTCTCTAAAAGAGGTATATTCTCTAAAATATGTCATCATAATCATATTAATTAATTTGCTGATAATATTCTTAGATTTAACACAATAATAAAGGATTATTTGTGATAAAAATAAAAATCAAGAACTAAAATGAGTACTAACCCAATAACCATTACACCGAGGGATTGTAATTATTATCATTTTTTATCCAAGATACTGAGGCTTTTCATCTGCAACTAGAATGACGATTTCATGGGGCTATAAACTAAATAATTTTATATATTCTTGAAGTTAGAGGGTTTTCATTGGGAAAAAAAAAAGACTAAATAAGCTCTTTCTATTTGACAAAGTAATTGTACTTTAAAGAGAGCTTCATATATACATTAAAGTAGGGATAAAAAAAAAAAAAAAAAAAAAAAAGTGATTAGCTATTTTTACTTGTAGATTGATGTAGCTTTCCCTACTTACATAGGTATTATATATATTATTTTGTAAGAGGGACAAATGGGTCACTGAACTTATTGTTTTTGTACGTGTATGTAACTAGGTCATTGAATTTTAAAAGTGTTTAATTGAACCATCAAACAAGTAAAATATATGCAATTTGAGACATTTTTTAGATTTCTTTTAATGCAATGAGTTGGAATTATTTTGATATTTCATCCAACTAGTATGGCAAAGCCGCAAAGGAAAAAGGGAAACTCTTAGTACATACCATTTAAGAAATATGATCGAATTTTACCGGAAAAATTTAGAAAAAGTCCAAATTGTATATATTTTTCTTGTTTGATGGTTCGATGGTACACTTTTTAAGTTCAATGACCTAATTGCACAAAAAAAAAAAAAAAAAAAAAAAAAAAAAAAAAAGAATCAGTGACTTATTTGGCACAAGCAGGTTATGAACAGTTGCATGAGTGAATACCTCTTTCCAACAAGAAAAAGCCACGGCTCTATTGAGCCTCTCTTCAACCCAAGCATGTGTCCCTTTCCCTCACTCCCAAGTGAACGGATAACCAGACATCTCCAGATCAAAAAAGCCACAGTCGCTAAGCGCATTTCTAAACCATTAAGGAGGGGCTCCGAATGGGTATGTTGCCACATTTCTCATATTGCCAAACTAGATCGTTAAAGTCACCAACAACCAACCAAGGGAGGGTAAACTTGGTATAGAGTAACCTTAGATGTTCCCATGCTTCTACTCTACGATGACGTTCCGGAAAACAATAAATGCCAATAAGCCTCCAAGTCTGCATGTTGGGAGTTCCACCTTCACATCAACGTGATTCTGGGAATAGCCATTCGGAAGATCGTAAACTTGTACCCACAACGTGATTGTGTTTAACACCACGTTGGTATCAAATAGGTGGTTACCATAGATCTAAATATATAATGTGTGAAGATAAAATAGGAAAAACTATCGTTATGATAAATGTAAACAAACAATAAATAACTTAAATAAATTAGATAAAAAGATAAAAGAATTTGAAAAACAAGCAGTAGAAAAAAGGAAAGAAATAGTAACAAATATAACATAAAATTGGAAAAAGACATTTAAAAAGTTAGAATATCGTGATTAGAATGGCAAGTAAGAATAAATTTGAATTAAAAATTATTAAAGCACTTTGACGGTAAATATGTTACTTGAGTATATTTGGAAAGTATTGTTTCGAATTGCTATG